CACACACACACACACACACACACACACACACACACACAAACATACATACACGCATACATACAGACACACACACAGCCCTGTTAGCTCCTTCACATGGATTAGTTTCGTTAATATTAATATATTCATGTCGATGGATGGGTGCCACAGGTGTACCAGCAGCACCAAGTTCATCATGCATATTAGCTTCGACAGTCATTTCAATTTTTCATTCTTTCTACACTGTTGCCACTATACTTTGTTCGGTTTTTTTCAATGATGAATTTCATAGGAAGTGGCTGACCGTCTGAGCAGGCACAGAAAGTCCTTTTGCTTCGGGATGCAAAAATGCCAAGGCTTTCAAACAAACGAATTCCTCTTCCCTCATCTGAAGCTGTCTCATTGGCCAAACAATTTCGTCCAGTACACGTGGTGTGATATTGCTCGTCTTGAACGCTGATAATCCTTCAAAAAATGCATTACTAAAAACAAAGAGGCAATCGACGGAGTGAGAGATGCAAAGAAATGTAAAAAAACACAATGATTTCCGGTTACATTTTATAGCGCCTTGGAAAAATGAAGTACGGTAAAAAGTCACTAAACCCATAAAAAATAAGTAGCGGTGCGCACCCGGTGCGATCATGCGTTTTACACAGTTTTGTCCAGCGGACGTTTGTTTACTAAAAATATAACTGTTTTACACTTTCGTATTCTGTTTAGCTTTTAGGGTGAGGAATTTCCCGCCGAAAATTTCACGCGCCGGTACGTGAAAGCTGAATTTGAAAAAATGGATGGAGAACATCCTTCCAAATTTCAAACTTTTAGTTTTCCAGCTTCCTAGCTAGTGACTTTCGCATCAAAATTCTCACGTGATCGTACGTAAGACTCCTGCATTTGGGTGCCAGATCTGAGTATGTGAGGTACCTACACAAGCAGAAAACATCCTTCTGAAACTTTATTTTCACAGCTCTTCTGGTTCCCGAAATACTAATTTTCTCACTAAAAATTTCGCGGGGCCATACACGAAACACAAGCGCACATGAAAGCTGAATTTAATTCTGCGAGGTCGCATTCCCTCAAAACTTCATGATTTCCGAGACAGTAGTTTTTTCTGTCGAAACTTTCGTGGTGGGCGTAATTGAGACTCAGGCATGACTGAAAACTGATTTTGAATTTAAAAGGTTCATAGGCAAATCCAGAGAGGAGAAAGAGGGCGAAGCATTTTCCGCCCTCCCAGCGGCACAGACACCAGCGCTGCAAAAGCCTGGACTTGTTCACAAATAAAACTAAAGTGACGCAAAACAGTACTGTTAGAACTCTATTCCTAGCTTTTGCATAATTCCAGGGTATGAGAAGGCCCCCCCTTCCCCGCCCCCCTCCCGTCGATCCCTACCAGGGGCCCACTCTCCCCTAAGCCCCTCACTCCCCCCACCACGAACCCTACTCTTCCCCATCCTCTCCAGGAGACCGTCTTGGATCAGTTTATGTCAGAGTTACACATGGGGAGAAAACATTTTTGCTAAATTTCAGTTTCCTAGCTTTTGTTGTTCCCGAGATATTTTACCCGCCAAAACCTCCCCAGGGCTGTACGTGATATCCAAGCGCATGGAAGAACCGAACTTGAGTTTTTTGGGTCGCACGCGGGCAGGGGCATACCCATAAAATTTTAGCTCCCTAACTTCCGTGGTTCCCGAAATAATAATTTTACCTGCTAAATCTTTTACGGAACCATACGTGTTACCCGCGAGTACAGGAAGGCTGAATTTAATTTTGCGAGGTCACACTTTGGCGGGGAACAATCTACAAAAATTTCAGGCACCTAGCTTTTGTAGTTCCCGAATTGAAAGTGGGGACAAAATCTCGGATACACAAACACAGACAACCCCATGACAATATGTATTTTGTGCTGCTGTTACACAGCGCAAAATGCATAAAAATATGTCCTCACATAGTTCACAGCTTCGGTAAAGAGGTGATGTTGCGCACAGCTGCTAAGCCTCAGTATGGAAACACTCTAAAATGAACCCATCAGTTGATAGCAAATATGCAGAATCAGTCCATAGAAGAATGCACGACGGCTTTGTAAGTGTCATGACGAGGGATGGCACATCATCAACTGGATGTTTTAGGTCAACATAAAAAAGACAGCCCGTACTAGCTCAAGGATTTCCCCCGTCAAGTCTGGTGCACCAAAGTGGTGGACAAAAACTGGTAAATGTTGCGGAAAACAACACTGCTAACGATTAATCAATGAGATCAAGCGCTAATCAACGGAAACAACGGGAACGATTAATCAACAATCACTAATACAGTGTCTTTACCAGTATACTCAGTCTAAGTTGGAAACACGGAGCACAGGCAGAGTGCTTTCCATACTTCACTAGGCAATTAAAGAAGCAAACAGGAACGGAAAGTGAGATAGGCGCAGGGCAAAAAAACGCTTCCTAAAAAAAAGGATGTGCGTCTAACAGCACTGAAGGAAAAAGATGAAATGGGCAGGAAGATGCGGCTGCCGGGACAAGAGAGAAAGAAAAAAAAAACACCTTCAAGTTCGATGCTCTGTTCGCGACTCATATAAGTATTATTGAAAAGGCACACGCGGGTTGTGTCGGGCGAGCGAAAGGCCGGTACCAGGATTAGATGCTGCGGCGCATAATTCTTCAGCAAGATAATTTTATCGTCCATTATAAGATCAGTGAACGGTTCCAGGCCTTTGGCCCAATCAACCTGTAAAGAACATAAAATTTCCCGAAGTTCTTGCATGTGGACGGCACCTATAAATTCCAATGCTCCGGGCAGCTATTTCGTTCTTCCTCGTCGCATTTCTCTCGTCACTGATAAAAAGCTTTATTCCTTATTGTGAGAATAATGAAGCTACATGCTTCTTTATCGATACAACTCAACGCAAACGTTCAATTGGGCACATCCAACAACTGGTAAATTTCACCACGCTTCTTTCTAAGTGCAAGTCTCAGTCACAGTCTGGCATTCAGTCTTGTGCAGAACAATAATCACATAATAATTGTAAACCAAGACGAAAAGAACTTGGAAAATCCTTACAGGAATTCCTCAAAATAAACCCAATATTTAAGCAATGATGGTTTTTTAGGTTGCGAATTTATCAGTCCTTTTTATCTCCGCAATGCTTCACACAGTTACAAGAATAGGATGCCTGTAGCTCCACCTCCCTCTACTAAAAACTAATCATCAATTTTTTTTGAATAACCTCCGTTCAAAGTGGCTGATTACTGTACATCATTCGATCCATGCTCCCCAGGATCAGGAGGAAGTGATCCCACTCCAACACTGTTTCCTACCACCCGTCAACTCACTTCACTGAGAAAGTCTTTCTGCGTCAGCAGCAAATAATTTTTCCTCAGTTGTGGAGCATCGTTTTTTCGAATGCACAGTTCAAGCGTTACGCTATTTTGCTTTTATTAACGGAGTAAATTGTGAGCCACTGCTGCGTAACGCTTCAGTTTTATTAAAAGCATTTTTGCCCCAGTTATGAAGCATCTACCGATAACAGGACCGGCGTTAAACTACGGTAATTCTACAGAGCATTTGGAAAAAATTCGCTATAACCTTCACTGAAGTAGCAGGACCCAACTTTGTACTGTTATTTGGAGGCGATGATCTCAGAGCCGATTCGAACACATTTAACAGTCAGCTACACTAATGACGAGAAGGAACGCAACGACAAAACAGCAAACATCCATGATTTAAAGCAATTAACATAGCTAAGAAAAACTTAATACATCCTCAGCAAAGCTCATCTTCATCTAAAACAGACACGGCAACGCTCCAGTACTCCCCTATTCGCTTCCCCCCACGCCTTTTCTCTCTATTCCTTTCCGCCTTTCCCATTTCCCCCTCCCCCCTCTTGGTTTCTGAGCTAGTCAAACACTAAGAGAGGTAAAAAAAGAAACATCAAAAAACAGACCATTAAAACAAGCGTTGTTCTGGATAATTCGTTCAAGTCATCGACGGTACAAGCTCTGCAGGGCAGCGAGAAAGCAGACGGAACGTCACCAACTTCACCGGCTCGCAGATTGTCCAGTGCCGCAGTTGACGATGTAATCACTGAATTACGATAGCGTGCTGTCATCTCCTGATTTGTTCGTGCCTCCATTTCCATCAGCGTATCGATAACATTTGATTTCAGAGTACCACCGCTCACTAGCGGACGGCTTATGCAGTGCGATGTATCCTCGGTCTCTGCATTACATTTGGTAGTCGTTGTGCCATTAACCTCCGACGGTTTTGCGATCGGCGGTTCACTTCGTCGCTTCGTGGAGCCGATTGAATCGCGTTCAAACTGAATAGCTGAAAAAAGGTATTTTCAGATGAAATACGAAAGATAAAATCTCCTGGATTCCCATCAACTCAACTGGATCGGTCTCTCTACCAGCAGCATTTATCCACAGAAAATTCATTTATTTGATAAAGTAAAGCTGAATTTACTCTTCTGAAGACTCACACAAAATAGGTAACACGCCCGTAAAATATAAACTTCCTAGCCTATTTAATTTGAGAGAAAAAGGATGCGAGAGCTATGAAAATTGAATATTTGACATATCCGAATGCGAGGTGCAAGCATGCGTGAACGCTCATTTGACACCTGTACGCAAAACATAAGGACAGCAAACATCAAAAAATGCAGCTTTTTTTTCAAAAAATGCAACATATGGACAGTAAAAATGCAGCTTTTTGCACGGTCTAGAAACAAAGTTGAAAAAATTGCTCACACAGTGCCTATTTAAACTTTAATTTACGCGTACTTCAAACCTAGGGGTGCCAAAAAGCTGAATTTGAAGCTTCAGAACGCAAACAGACAGCGAATGTTTTAAAATAAAATGGAAGTTGTGTAAATGATGAGTTACCTTCGCGCTTCATCCCAACACGGACGCATTTTTGAAAGCGGCAGTAGCGACAGGCACACCGAAAGTTTTTATCGATAACGCATTTCTTATTGAAACGGCACGTGAACTTCTGGTTTCTGAGGATCGTCCGCCGAAAGAACCCCTGCAAACCGGATTTTGACTTATCAGCGCTTCACTGTGGAAAAAGCATCAAAATAAACAATAATCACAAAAATCAGCCTGCATGAAAAGTTGCAAGTGACACGATGCATGTACAGCACAAGCAAGCAAGTGCGAGGGAACAAGAGGGCACAGTAGCCAAAAAATCTGCTAATTTTACCTTATGAACGTCAAAAGTTCAATTCTGCTCGTGAAAATACGAGAATTTCCAATGCCGGTACTACTATAACTGATTTGTTTAAGAAAAAAAAAACAGTAATTGAAGGGGCCTACTTTGCATCCATTACAGGAGATAACTCCATAATGCGTGCCCGTTGATTTGTCGCCACAAACAGCACACGGCTCACACAGTGGATCCACTGAAAATACATCTAGCAAATACACACAAGAACAATTATCTTCCTTTCTAGAACAGGAGAAATAACTCTCGAATTTGTCCGCTCTACTGCAAAAGCAATCTTTGGCTTCCCTTTTCCTCCTCTCTCTTCCCTCCTTGCCCCTCCAATTCACTGCTTTCTCTTCAAAAAGAAATTGTTCGTGAAATTGTTAGCCTTAAAGCCATAGCCCTTCCAAACTCACTGTCCCACTGTAAATGATCGGGAAAACTTGAATTAGCTGTAATCCACCATAAAATTATGCATTTGATAACTTTTTCTGTTGCTTCGATCAATGCTACATCGTTTGGTAGCCAGCCTGTTGAGCAACCTGTTTCGCACAAGGATTACTAATTCAATCGATTATCCCGCAGAAGCATTTCATAAAAATTAAGGTGCTTTGAGATGTCCGTGGTGTGACTTGTTAAGCATAATCGCCTCATGCCAGTCCTGGACTGCGAACAGACTATCTGAGAGAATAATAAGGCTAACAGTAACAAAATTTTTGAGTTTGGAATATTCACCTAAATCCATTGGCGAATTGCTTACGGCTCAATTTCATATTCCACTGCGCAGCACGGAAAATCCATCATCGCCCACTGGTAAAAAACAGAAAATTCCAGCCCCATCACGGCAAATTCATTGTGAAACAGAGAAGTTTATCTGAAAAGGAACGGAACTTGAAAATTCGATAACAGCCAAGCTGCTAACCTGTATTTAGCGGAAAGTAATATCTCTCTGAACACCACAGAGCAAAAATTCCAGACGCATCACCTCCTCGACATAACTTCGCACACTTTCAACACAATAATCCTTCGTCCAACAGTTACCTGCCCCAACACCTCCGCTGCCCGAGTCTCCGCACCCATTACTTTCCCACCCCTATTCCTCCCCATACCCTAAGTTTTCGCGGCCCGAAGCAGCACGATTCCTTTTCTTTTTATGCGTTCTTGCATATATGCAAATGCAAAAACACACACTGTAACGACCCATGGCGTGTGTGTGTTGTGTTTGTGTGTGTGTGTGTGTGTGTGTATGTATGTATGTGTGCGCACCTGTCCAGATATTTCAACTTGATAACCAAGCAAGCTCCGGCGCTACAATTTTGTTAGTGGGTTCCTTGGTCAAATGCCACCCCAGGGTCGTCATACTAATCTTCACACACGTCTAAGCCTCGCGCGCAAGCACATGAAAGTTTTGGCGGGAAAATCACCAACTCAGGAACCAAAGAAAAGCTGGGAGAATGAAACTTTGAGGCATGTTCCCAGCCCACGCACAATTAAATATTTCAAATTCAGCCCTCAGGTGCGTGTGTTGCTCACATACAGGCCTGCAGAAATTTTTGGCGGGAAAATTGTCAACTTGGGAATTAGAAGAACTGGAAGGGCGAAATTTTGACGGAACGTTCCCCACTCAAGCAGTTGCATAGGCGGATCCAGGGCAGTCTCTTGGCGAAGAGGGAGGAGGGGAGGGATTTTCTACCTTCCCTTCATTCTTCGTCACTACCTCTTCCCCCTGGTCGACCAACTGTGCCTCTCCCCCTTTCTCTCCCCCTCGAAGGTTTCACCACACTCCCCCCCCCCCCCCCCCCCCCCCCCCCCCCCCCCCCCC